TCAGAGCCCGTTCACCAGTCATTCCAAGGCCCTGCTCTGGGCATCTACAGATCCTTGGTTAAAATCCCTGAGGGCTTTCTGCTCTGGTCACAGGTAGGAACCTGTGGGATGCAGTCAGGGTAGGGATCCCCACTTCTCGTGTTAGGCTATGCAGCCTCCACATTTCTCTTGCTTCCTTTCTACCCACCTTGCTTTTTCCCTCTTACTGAAAACTCTTCCAGCCACCGTGCTTGCTCTCCCCTCACTTTCCCTCACCGCCAAACACGCAGGTGGTGGTCATTTTGCATGGCTGAGAATGTAGGACTTACTTTGATACTTGAGTAGTTTTCCTCCCTGTTGCTCGGATGCTCCCAGTATCTAGACAGGTGGAATGCAAGCCAGGGCCACTAACATGGCTGTGCGGGTGTATCCATGTGGGTGAGCTCCCCTGGGTTGAGCAGTGCACCCATGAGGTGGAGGTGTTCTCAGTGCCCTTGGTGGGGTGGCTGTTCTCAAGGAAAGTTCTAACCTCATTGAGCCCTGGAGACTGATGTGTGCCTTGACACCACTCCATTCTCACCTGACAGGCATTCCCACTTACAGATGACTCTGTGCTCTGAAATCAGGCCACATTTCTGCAAAGTAAAAATGCTTAGAAGGCATTGTGGTTTGGTTGGGGAAATTCCATCACCTTGAGTCACAAGCAGCGTTGTGGCTGAGGAAAAGGCTTTCCAGAGCATTCGGGAGATGGGCAGGGAGCAGCTTGGGCCTAGGAGAGGCATAAGCAGCCGCTGGACCCTGTAGGCTCCATGAAGCCGCCGGGAGAGCCAAACTTCTGTTCATTTCCACCAGTGCCTCACTGGTGACCTTGAACCTAATCTCGTGGCCTCTCAAGTCATGCCATCTCCACCTGTGCAGGAGATCTAATAATAAAGCTAAGAACATTTTTTATGTTTATTTTGAGAGAGTGAGCGGGGGAGGGGCAGAGAGAGAAAGAGAATCCGAAGCAGGCTTCAGGCTCGGAGCGGTCAGCACAGAGTCCGACGCGGGGCTCGAACCCACAAACTGTGAGATCATGACCTAAGCCGAAGTCCAAGGCTTAACCGACTGAGCCACCTAGGTGCCCCTCTAAGAACACTTCTAATCCCATCATGTTTTCAGGAGACTATTCAAGAGGGACTCATGCCACTGCTGTGTGTGGTCACCATGTTACTTGCCCCTGAGCACACAGCAGGTACTTGTGGCTTCGTTCATCCCCTGCAGAGGAACCTGTCCTCTGGCCTTTGCCCCTCTCCTAGCAGCTTTACCCTGGGGACTAGTAATTGAAGTGGTAATTTTGGGAGTGTGGAAGGAACACTGGGCTAGAGGGCTGGATCTTGTTTCTGCCTTATCTCCTCATCAGGCCCTAGCTAGGGACTAAGAGGACCAAGAAGACTGTCCTTCCCATTCCCTGACTTGAAAGCATGAGACAGTTGCAAGACCGCACACAGCAGCCACTCCACCACTGCTCGTCTCCTCACGCCGCTAGTTTCTGCACCAAGGGTGGGAGGGCAAGCCTGCAGATGTAGAAGACATCCAAATGAAGGGCAAAGCCTTAATGTTAGGGATGACCCTTGGGACTAAGGACAGTGGTTCCTTTCAGGGGAGGGGGAGGCTGTGGTTGGCATGGGCACTGGACAGGCTTCTGGGAAAATCAGTTTCTTAGGTGGTGTTACAAGGAAATTTGCATTTATTATATTGTTTTACGATATATATTTTTTCTAAGACTTTATTTTTAAGTAATCCTACACTGAACATGGTCATCGAATTCACAACCCCGAGATCAAGATTCTCATGCTTTACCGACTGAGCCAGTTGGGTGCCCCTACAATAAAGATGTTTTTAAAATACCTTTTTCCCTTCCTCATTTTCTTCACCACATAAATACAGACCCCTTTGGGACAAAGCTAGGCAAAGCCTCAGACGCGTGGGGCATGTCGAGGGCACTGACCTCAGGCCAGTGTCGGAGGATCTGGAGAGGAGGGCAGATCCCGAGTGGCTGTTTGCACAAACCGTGACCCTTGTGGAGGCTGAGACACAGCAGCAGTGAAAGGAAATGGGCAGGTCTTCTCTCACAGTGAAACTATGCTCATCTGGCTGCATGATGCCATGCGGAGGGGAGGAAAGCCCCACCTGCTGTCAGCAGCGTGGCTCCTGAATAGCTCAGAAGAATAGCTGACCTTTCCCAGCTTGAGACCCAGGTCCAGTAGCTCCATAGGACTTAACCAGCACCACATGGTACTGTCTCAGAAGAAAATAGTGCCTGCACTGGGGTGGCCCGGAGGACCTAGCCAACCGAGAGGAAAAGCCCTGAACTAGTGACCAGCACTAGAAGTGCGGGTCCCCCTTGCAGCCTCTTGGGCTCTGAGGGCCTTGCCTTGCATGGGAATGAAGACATCAAATGCTTATCAGCAACATTAGGCTAAAGATGTACAGCTTCTCAAGTAGCCTGGCCAGATGTTAAAAACATCCAATGCATGATTTTAACCTTCCTGAGGCGCTTCCCTGGGGGTAGCCTCTGTAGGGAGTCTGCCTCTTCCCAGCTTAGGTTTTCATCCAGTCAAGACTGGTGCCAACCCCTGCTTCCTTCAGGGGCGACACCTCTCTGTGAGGCTCCCCCAACCTCCAGGCCCTGGGACTACTCCCTCCCCCGCCCGCCATCTTCAGCTGCTGTCCCCCCAGAGTGGGGCCGGCACATTGACCTTGGCATTCAAACATGTTTGACGTCTGCTTTCCAAGAGTCTTGGGGACACACTAGTTTTCTTTTGTGGGATCAATTTGTTCACTGTTACTTGTTAGAAACAGGACTACACCCACCTCAAAAGAGGAACTTGGATCAGGAAGGCCTTGCCTTGTGTATAAATCCGAACATAAGCCTCCTGCCTGCTTTGATTTTCCCTATGGCATGTTAGGGATTTCCCCTGCTCTCTGCTTCTGCTTGGTCTTCTCTGGGGCACTGTGGACAACCACAGGACCAAACCCAATTATCTGTCTACCCCACCAATTGGCAAGACATAGTCCTGGTGAGCAAACAAAGCCTTCTACAGGCTCAGAAACTGTACCCCATCCCCCAGAACGGTTTCCAACCACAGGACCCAAGACTGTTCCATGGCACAGGAATCTTCAGTACATCTAAGAAGGATGCGGTATTTGCAAATACAGTATTAATTCCAGTGCTATAGGCTTTTCAGCCACTATTTACAACATCAGGGAATTTTCTTGAAAGGGATCTCTGTTTTGCCGATCTTCAGAGCCAAGGTGGGCAGAGTAACTTCATGTCACAGCATCAAGCCTGCTGAGGAAAGACACACCCTCATGCTGTACCAGTTGATCATTATGGCTGAATGTGACATTCACTCTCCTGAGACTTGACTTACATCAGGTCACTCCCACTCACTGTGTCCTTTCCAGGGAGAGGAAATAAAACAGTTAATATATCTTAGTATTCAGATACTAATTTAGTAATAAGAGACCAAGGGTGGACAGTCACCCACAGCAAATGTCCTTAACTGTCATATGGCAGGGAGGTCAGCCGATTCCTTCTACTGGGCTTTTTTCCACATTCTTTTCTCTTGACCTGGGAGTGACCAAAAGGATTCAGCTTTCTGTACACAGTTAGGAGGGAATACCAACCTTTATTTACACTTGGGTTCAAGTTCAGAGCCATCTTAAACAGTATAGCAAAGCGGGGGAAAGCACAGATCCTGGGACCAAGTTCAGATTCCAACAGAAGCATATTAACTGTGACAACAGGCAAAGGTTATTTTCAGTTTCTGCAGTCAATTGGAGAGAGCATCACCCCCAGCTGCCCGCAGCTTACAGCTGCCTCCGCCCCAGTCCCTGCCCTGGGTGCTCGGCCAAATTCAGGCTCTGGCAGGACTCACTCTGCTGGGCATGGCAGGACTCGGTGAGTTACTGAAACTCTGAGGTAGCCCCCAACCCCAAACGTTCACCAAAGGCAAGAAATAGGAACTTGAACTGGTGTATGGGCTGGGTGAGAAAAACTGCACACGGTGTTCAATAAATACTATTTACAAGTCTTGCCAGGCAAGGACAGGGCATCTGTACATGGGCACTGATTTCAGATATTAGTTTCTAGGGGAGAAAAGGATATGATGGTAAGGTGTAACACTATTTTGCCTGGACCCCCTTTCTCTTGATCAATGGGTTAAATAACGATTTTAAAAATCATATGCTTAATACTCATCCTGAAAACCACCCAAACACTAAATATGCACATTTATACTAAGCGTGCGTGTATGCGTGTGTACATACACACAGAAACCACGAGGTAGTTTAAATCACCATTAAAAAAAAACCAAAAACAATACTTTTCCTAATTCTCTGTCACAGAGTGGTAGCCAATGGCTGCCCACCAGCTATTTAAAATTATCGGTTAAATGAAAACCAAAACTCAAAAACTTCCAGGAGACTGTAACACTTACAAGTAAACAGTAAGTACAGGTGTATTTTACTTCGTCAGTCTCTGGAAACTAGGCTGTGACTGCTTTCAATTAATGGTCGGTGTTACATGTATTTGCTCTAATGCTAAAGCACACAGCCTTCCCAATCTACACACCTTATGAAGTAGTCTCTGTAGATTCTATTTTACATCTTTACTCTCCAGGTTTTTGTGGAGGATTCAATACAATCTCTATGTACACATTTTAAACATTATTTCTGAACTTCATTTGGAATTATTTAAATAAAAAAATAATCACCATTCTCCACCTTCTTGGGAAAGTGCCAGACTAACCCCCCCCCCCCCCCCCCCCCCCCGCCCCACAACTGGAACTGCTGCCTTGTGTCTAGAGAAATCCCTACCCCACAGCCCCCAGGCCAAAAAAGTGCAATGAATTCACACTAAACGGGAAAAAGCAACATCTATTGTTCTTAGAGTCTGACTCTCTTCCCCACACCAAGAAAAGTCTCTTCATAGGTATGCCAATGCTGTTGTAGCTTGCTAGGGAAATAGGGCTCTCTCAGGCCAGAGCAGGAAAGTCCTCAGGGTCATCCGGGTTGGGAGCAACGTCTTGTGTCTAAAGAAGAAAAGAAAAGTTTTTAAACCAACATTCACTTTACCCATTGCCACTTGGGCAGAGCCCTCTGAGAGACACATGCCTGCTCTCAACCAGGCAGGTGCTGACAGTGGGTGTGGCCCAAACACTGTAGGGAGAGGCAGGCTCCCAGAGAGGGGGGGGTGCGGAAGGGTCCCTTCTCAGACTCGCTCTTGTCCCCTCTGCAAAATGGCCACCAGTTCCTGCCTCCCTCCCTCCCACAAACCCTTACCGAGTGACCCTTTTTGTATCTGGCACCTCCACCATCCAATAAACATGATTTAGAATATTTACTATATGGAGATACAAGGTTGATTAGAAGCAGTTCCTGCCTGACCTGGGGTTCCCTGGGGTCAGGGGAGATGCCCCGAGGAAGTCACAGCCTGGTAACTTCAGCAACAGATGGCCTATGAATGGCCCACAGGAGGGGCACCCACTGCTATTTGGAGGTGGAGCGCACATCACCATTAGGTAAGGTTTTCTAGAAGAAAAGGTTCTTCCAGAGATAAGCCTCAGTGAATGAGCAAAGGGAATATGGATCCTCAAACAGTGTAACCTGACGGTGAAGAGGTGGGGGCCTGAGGGCAGGTCTGAGCTAGAAGAGAACAGTATGCATATATTTGTCTATAAAACATTTACAAAGTGCCTACTATACACTTAAATTGTGCTGGGCACTGGGGAAACCAATAATGAGCAAAAGCAGACATGGTTTGTGTCCATCCACTGTACAGACAACAGACACTGATCAACAATCACACCAGTGAGAATACAGTTACAAATGAAGACAATGCTTCAAAGAAAAAATTCTTTGCTCAAGGACTCTGACCTGGTCTGGAAGGAAATGTGACCAAAGAAGATTTCTCTGAGGAAGCAAGGTCAGAAGATCTATTCTAGGTGAGCAGGCAAATGGGCAGAAGGACCACCAGGTGCAAATGCTCCGTGGGGTCAGGAACATGCTTGTGTGAAGAACTAGACGTAGAGCAGTGTTGGCTGAGGAGCAGGGAAGAATGGTTTGAGGTGACAAGGTGAGCTTGGGGAGGTCACAAGGAGGCCCTGAAGGGAAGGGTTCTGTCTACCCTGAAAGTACCATAAGGGCACAGGGCATATGATTGGATCACAGTTAGGAACTGTCAGGTGATCTGATAGGATCCCAAGCCTGGGGACTTGTCTGATGCAGATGAGTGAGTTTTCTCTGGTTCTGAGAGTGCATTTACAGCAGTGGATGTGCCCGGTGACCATGGAGGCCACGGCCACTGAATGGTCTGTATCCAACTGTGTCCATGCTGCTGACCTCACTGTTCTGAACACCTGGATGCCAGACCCACACTAGATACAGGAATGGACAGCAGACCCTGACAGGCCTCCCAGTGGCACTGCCTGGGGCCCCCTCATCCTCTCACCTCCTTTAGAAAACCGTCCAGGTCACAGAGTACACACACTCACCACCACTTCTGCTCTGGGTCCGTAGTTCTCCACCCTTCTGATCCTTCCCCGGCCTCCCCGTGTGCCACCTCTGGCTCCACGCCCAGGACGAGGGAGGTTACCGAAATTAATCTCCAGCTGGGATGTGATGTCATTGGCTGCTTTCCGGAAAACGTGGGCATCATCTTCATAGTCATCCTTTACCATCTGAAACACAGTTACAGCATATCACACACACACACACACACACACACACACACGCACGCACACACCCGTCTCCATGGACACTCACTCGCTCAGCGTCGAAGCGCTATGCCGCCAGGGAGCCAATATGGCATCACAGCGGACAGTGGCCCTCCCTGATGTGCTGTCGGCACTGGGCTGCAGGGCAAGGCAAAGGTGGTGACCCCGCTGCTCTGGTTCCAGCACAGGGGTTCTGCACATTTCCCAGCCACATGTTCTCATACTCACCGTCTTAATCCAAACATCTCTCAAATTACTATTAACTCAAGTGACACCCGAGTTTTTAGCAGTTTGGCAGGTTAAGATGTAAGATTTGACATGCCTACCAGCAATCAACATATATCTTTTATATCTAAATGTATTTTGCTGAGATTAAAAAAATTTAATTTCTGCCTTTGTTCACAAATGCCACTTTGATAAATAAGGAAATATCACCTCCTTAGAATAGAACTTGATGGAAAAACTCCTTTCATTGTGGGTGCTGGCTGTACAAATACCATATGTTAAAAACTGCATGATTTACAATAAACAATTCTGACTCAAAATCTAGGAAAATAGTAAAACAACAGAGTATGGTTATCTGATGATTGCTGCAGAAAGAATTCAAGCTGCTTTTTAAGAACTATTTTTGGCCAAAATACTTTGAGAAATTACATTTTATTATATATGAGGTCAAATAAGTTCTGTTTCTTGTTAAAAGAAAACTCTATTAAATAAACTTTGTTCCAAGTTTGATTTGGCTTCAATTCCTAATAATGGATAAAAAAAAAAAAACCCTCACTTTTGAGTAAAACATAAATCTATACAAAATATGCCAATGATCTGGGATGAGAATCTCCAAACTCTATAATGCTAAACATTCCTACTACAACTTGTCCAGAAAATAGAATCAAGTCTCCCTGAACTTATCAACCCCTTTAGGCCATCTGCTCATTACAGGTTCTGTGTTTAACATTTATGTTCCCTTCAAAGCTGCATTAAAATAAAGCAGAGGCCTTAGCTGGATGTACTGTTGAAACTAAAAAGGTGAAGGAAAGAACAATTCAGGAGCATTGACACTCTGGTAAAAAGACAGACACAAAAAACCAGTAAGAGGCGAAGTAATAGCCTACCACCTGCTTCAGAAAACAGCGGGCTCTGTGTGCTGGAGTGGGGGAGGCCGTGACGGAGTAGGGGGAGGCTGCACAGGAGTAGGGGGAGGCTGTGCCAGAACAAGGGCGGCTGTGCAGGAGTGGGGATGGTCGTGGAGCAGGGGGAGGCTGTGCTGGAGTGGGGGTGGCCATGCAGGAGTCAGGGGAGGCCATGCAGAAGTAGGGGGAGGCCCTGCAGAAGTAGGGGGAGGCCCTGCAGGAAGGGCAGCGGTGCCTGGGACAATACTGAGTGTGCTTTCTTGAAAGGGATCAGCTCATTTCACAGGCTGCTGGTGGTCTGAACTTTGCAAACACAAGGCATTTTACTCTATTGCTTTGTCTTTTAGGGTGCCCAGAACAAAGTAAATCAGTGACCCTAAGATTTGGCTTTTGTTTTCTCAGAACAATTTCTGGCTAAAATCTTCAATGCCGTAACATTAACAAGAGACCAAAGACATGTGCTTCGTGGAGACCAAGCTGGATGACTCAGCTAACCCAGTTGCTTCAGATATTCCAGGAGACCTCTGTCTGGAGCCAGGGAGGATGAATCTGGTGTGGATGCAGGAAAAACAGCTGCTATTTTTACCTAACATGTCAGCTGCACATTTCACATCCTGACAGCACATTTGTTTTAGGAAAAGCTTTATTTACAATGGCCCAGAACAAAAAAGAACAAAAGTGAATAGGAAAAGAGCCAACCCAGTTAGCTGATGGACGTGAAGAAATACCTCACAGAGACTTCCAAGAGAAGGCTCTCCCCTCCATGCTGCCTGTGTATAACAGCTAGTGGAGTGGCTCCAAACTTCTTAGTAAGGCCTGGAAGAGACTGGAGGTGGTAAGGCATCCTGTATTATAAATGACCCTCTGATGAAAGTATTCATTCAAAGAACACAACTAACCGAAGTGTCAATGGAAACACACACAAAGCTACACAGTTTCAAACGGAAAATCAGTGTATAATATCTAGTGGGAATATCTGTCCACCACCATCATCAACACAGAAATGTGTATTAAGATAAGCAGCTGTGACTGAATGATGTGAATTCTAAAGTTTAAAACGAGAATATTCAAGGCACCCTTAAGTTCAGTAACTTAAACAGAATGCGATTACATGACTCACTGACCATCTGCATCAATATATGCTGGGAGTCCTTTTCAAAGCCGAGGCCTCCAAAAAAGGGCTGAACACAAAGCATGAAGAGCAAGGCCCTCACGGGAGGGAGGAACAATGTGAGCAATCCTGGCTGCGGCAGCAGGGTGTGGCCAGGCAGCCGCACTGTCCCAGGGGCTCCTCCCGGGTGGCACAGTTACACGGCGGGGACAGAACTGCTGCAGTAACACAGCACAGAACTCTGACAGGTTGCAAATGATCAACTCCTCCCAATAAAATGCTCTTATTAAGAACGTGAGCTGAAAATCTAACCTAATCATGAAATGCGTAGTAGTTATCCTTTGAAATGGCACTATTCATGAGACACTGTACCTCTCTTGAGACAAAAACGAGATGCAATTAACATACAGTATTTGCACAGTCAAAGCACAGCTGTGGGTTGAGCGGAAAATGCACTGTCACTGAAACTGCTTTGTATGAAGTGTCGACAGGCCAAGTTTCAACTCTTTTTATGAACAATACAGGTACAGATAAAATTAGGCACACATCATATCTGATTAGTCTTAGGTAGAAACTAAAATGCCACTACCAATGTCCCATTTTCACACTAGAAGTGGAAAGGGTCCATCTGGTTTCCAGTAAGGTAAGAATGAAGATTACCTCTAGACAAGAAAATGTCATACTTACATCATCTCTATATTTGGACTTGTGTATCACCACTGCTTTGGAAGGGACAGTGGACTCAGGTTTCCGGATGTTAAACTCAGGCTTTGGTCTTGTCTGTTCTTGAAGATTTTTCCACTCATCAAGGGTCATCTCTTGAACTTGAGTTTCCTCTTCTAACTCCAACTCAGGAACTCTATGAAAAATCAGAAGTTTTTGATGGATCTAAAATGTCTACTTTCTCAAAGAAAAAGTTATTACTATTAATTAGCATACTTTCATGGTTCTGCATCTCATATTTACATAAGGTAAGAAAATCTCGGAACTATAAGCTTCCATATTTTAATCATTTTATGCTGTCACTACCAACTGAAGATACTTCCTGTCTGTTTTCTTTTTTATTTTTTTAAGTAATCTCTATGCCCAATGTGGGGCTTGAACTCACAAGACCCAAATCAGGAGTCACACAGTCCACCAACTGAGTCAGCCAGCTGCCCCACTTGTTTTCAAAGCAGTTTTTGAAAAATAGGAACTGCACCATCCCATTAGCATTACACTTGACCACCAGGCATTCCCTTCCCAGATGGCATTACATACAAAATGAGATAAAATTGCAGAAGAAAAGGGAGAAACTATTGGAACAAAACAACCATAGGCAACCATGAACAGAGTTATAAAACAATGGGTTACAAATACATACTTTTGTAAATATCCTCTTTAAATTCATGAGACTTCAAGAATAGATCAATAGAATAAATTTCAGAGCCCAGAAAAAAATCCTCACATTTAAAATCAATTGATTTTTTTCAAGCAGGTGCCAAAGACAATTCAAAGGAGAAAGAATGGTCTTTTCAGCAAATGGTGCTGGGAAAACAGGGTATCCACGTGCAAAAAAAGGAAGTTGGACCCCCACCTCACACCATGAATATAAGAGTTAGAAATATAAACCGCTTAGAAGACGACACAGGCATAAACTTTCATGACCTTAGATTAGGCAGTGGTTTCTTACATGTGACACTAAAAGTGTAAGCAACAAAGAAAAAGGGGTGCTTGGGTGGCACAGTCGGTTAAGCATCTGACTCTTAATCTTGGCTCAGGTCATGATCTCACAGTTCATGAGTTTGAGCGCTGCATGGGGCTCTGCACGGATATTGTGGAGTCTGCTTAAGATTCTGCCTCTCCTCTCTGCCTCTCCCCACTGTGCCAGCGCGCTCTCCCTCAAAATAAATAAACTTAAAAGAAAAAGCAGATAAACTGGACATCACCCCCAAACTTCTGACAACTTTTGTGCTTCAAAAGACACCATCAAGAAAGTGAAAAGCCAATCCACAGAATGGGAGAAAACATTTGCAAATCATATATCTGATAAGGGACTTACCTTGGATACAAAAAGGATTACAACTTACAACTTAATGAAAAGAAATAACCCAACTGAAAAACAGGCAATGCTCTGAATAGACATTTTTCCAAACAAGATATACAAATAGCCAATAAGACGTTCAATATCATTAACCATCAGGGAAATGGAAATGAAAACCACAATGACCTATACCCACTCCACACTCAGTAGGATGATTAGAATAAAAAAGACATTTAACAAGTGCTGGCGAGGATGTGGAGAAATTGGAACTTCATACATTGCTGGGGCGGGGTGGGGGGGAGGTGGGATGTGAGAAATGGTGTGGCCACTCTGGAAAAACAGTCTGGCAAATTCTCAAAAATGTAAACACAGAGTTGCCATTTGACTTGACAATACCACTCTAAGTTACACATCCAGGAGAAACAACAGCATACGTCCGTGTGAAAACACCATGGCACTGCCATAAATAACACTGTTCATTTATTTTTTAAGTTTATTTATTTTGAGAGAGAGAGAACCAATGGGGGAGGGGAAGAGAGAGAGGGGGACAGAGGATCTGAAGCAGGCTCTGTGCTGACAGCAGTGAGCCCAATGTGGGTCTCGAACTCATAAACTATGAGATCATGATCTGAGCCAAAGTTGGATGCCTAACCGACTGAGCTACCCAGGTGCCCCTAATAATGCTGTGTATAGCAGCATTATTCACAATAGCCAAAGAGTGGAAACAGCTTGACTGGCCATCAACTGATGAGTAGATAAAATATGCTATCTTTAATACTGTGGAATACTATTTGGCTATAAGACGAAATGAAGTATTGATACATGTTACAATATGAATAAACCTTGAAAACATTATGATAAGTGAAATAAACCAGGCACAAAAAGTTTACGTACGATTCCATTTATATGAAATACCCAGAAAAGGCAAATTCATGGAGACAAAGAGCAGATTAGTGGTGGCCAGAGACTGGGGGCAGGGAGGCCAGGGAATGACTGCTTAATGGGAATGGGGTGATGGAAATGTTCTGGAACTAGATAATGGCAATGGTTACATAACACTGTAAATGCACTGTCACTTAATTGTACACTTAAAATGATTAAAATTGTAAGTTTTATGTTGTATGTATTTAACACCAAAAAAAGAGATAATACACACGAAAGAAAGAAATGAAAAGATAATATACAAAAAGAAAGAAATAAGCCAGACACAAAAGGACAAATATTATATTCCATTTATATGAGGTATCTAGAATAGGCAAATTCATAGAGATAAAAATAGAGGTTACCAGGGGTTAAGGGGAGGGAGAAGTTGGGATTTACTATTTCATGGATGTGGAGTTTCTGTTTGTGATGATGAAATGTTCTGGACATGGATGGCGGTAATGGTTGCACACAATGTGAATGTAATTAATGCCACTAAACCGCACACTTGAAAATGCTTAAAATGGTGATTTTTGTGTTATATGTGTTATGTAACATACCCCAAACCACTGAATTGTACAGTTTAAATGGCTGAATTTTGCAGTATGGGAATTATAGCTCAATAAAGTTTACAAGAAAAAATAATTAGGTGGTGAGTGGGAAGGGAATCAAATCTAATACCTTCACAGAAGGGCTAATGTAACTTGTCCTACATTATAGGTTAATGATATGAAAACTATTAGTGAAATCAGGAGAGAAACTTAATCACAGACCATTCATAACAGGCATATTTGTAAAGGGACTTTAAAATATCAAGCTAGTGGGGTGCCTGGGTGGCTTAGTCCGTTAAGCATCCAACTCTTTTTTTAAGTTGTGTTTTCTTTATTTTTAAATTTATTTTGAGAGAGAAAGTGAGTAAGTGTGAGCAGGGGAGGGGCAGAGGGAGATGGGGAGAGAGAAACCCAAGCAGGCTATATAATGTCAGTGTAGAGCCCAATGTGGGGCTCAATCCCACAAACCGTGAGATCATGACCTGAGCCAAAATCAAGAGTTGGACGCTTAACCAACTGAGCCACCCAGGTGCCCCAAACGCGGACAGAGAACATGTTCAACTACTCTACAAAAGTGTCACATTGGAATTAACTTGCACCAGTTCGAACTGGCTCACAGCCAGTTATTATTATTATTAAATCAAATTATTATTTATTATTATTAAATTATTATTAGATTATTATTAAAATTAAATTATATAAATTATAATTAGCTATACTAAAGGTAATAATCACAATTCATTATTCCCTAATTATTCCACTATATTGTACCTTTATCCATGCTCTTGGGGTTTATTATACCTCATGTATGTGCATAGTGAAAATGTTACATAATAGTGTACTATCGTTTATCTCTTCCCAACTCTGTGTTCAGTATGACACAGTGGTAGTTTTAAATCAGCCATGGTGGAAATATTTACACCACAAAAGCCAGCAAGTGCCAACAGATCCAGGCTTTTTCATTCTAGAGAGCCAGATGTTGAGTATTTACCAGCATACCATTGCCTGCAGGGAGGCACTGAGTAAAATTCTGACTCTGGGAAACATTTTGTGGACATATGACCCAGTTTATTAGACAAATAAATTACAAGGGAAAGAGAGAACATATAGATTAACAGTGACTTAAGAATAATCAAGATAGTGTAATATTAGTGTAATATAAACAGACCAATGGAACAAAATATAAAGTACAGAAATAGGCCTGCACATTTTAACAATGGTATTTCATGCACTGGAATAACTGGATATACATATACCAAAATGGAAAAAAAGGGAACTTTGATCCACACCTCACACTGTATACAAAAATCAACTCAAATGGATCACAGACCTAAATACAAAAGCCCAAATCATTAAACTTATAGGAGAAAACCTTTGTGGTACTAAACTGAGCAAAGATTTCTTACATTTGAGACCAAAAGCAAGATCAATCAGAGAAAAAAAAAATTGATAAAGTGGATTTAATCAAAATTAAAAACTTCTGCTTTTCAAAAGACACTGTCAAGAGAAAGAAAACAAGGCTACAGATTGGAAGAAAATACTGGAAAATCATATATCTGATAAAGGGCTTGAATCCAGAATATATGAAGAACTCTCAAAACACAGTAATAAGAAATAGTTAGAAAATGGGCAATTTCAACACTCTTTATTTTAATAAAGATATACAGATGGCAAATAACCTGTGAAAAAGTGCTTAATGTCATTAGTCAATAGGGAAATGTAAATTAAAACCACAATGAGATATAAACCTATCATACTGGCTAAACATTGTAAAAGCTGGAAAAACCACTCCAGAAAAGAGCCTGGCGTTTCTTTAAAAAGTTATATATACACCTGCCATATAGTCCAACCATTCCACCCCTAGGCATTTACACAGGAGACATGAAAATGTATACTCCACCAAGACTACACAAAAATGTCCACAGCAATTTTATTTGTAATAGCAAGAACTGGAAACAACCCAAATGACCATCAGGTAGACAGATGAAGAAACTGCAGTCTATCTGTACAGTGGAATACTGCTTGACAATAAAAAGGAACAAAGTATTGATACATGCAGCAACATGGATGCATCTCAAAAGAAGTATGCTCAGTGAAAGAACACAAGACAAAAAAAGAATATATGATGTGTGATTCCGTTTATATAAAACTGTAGCAATTGCAAACTAATCTTTAGTGACAAAAAGTAGATCACTGGCTGCCTGGGGGAAAGGGGCAGGAGGGAGGGATTACAAAAGGATAAAAGGAAACTTTTTGGGTTGATGGATATGCTCATTATTTTGATTGTGGTAATGGTTTTACAAGTATATATGGATGTCAAAGCTTGTAAAACTGTGCATACTAAATATATGTCACTCGTTGAAT